TCCAACTCTTTGTATTCAAGATATCTTCTCCATGGTTCTGGAGGTAGCAGTTAGCTATCAGGCTTAGCAAGCAATGAGAGGAACCTAATTTTTGAACTTGTCTCTCACATTTGAAACTCAAATTATGTTCAAGTTCCTTTGTTGAACTATATTGTTTGTCTTGCTAGAAGTATTATTTGTTTTATTCATTCTTAGGAGAGGGAACCATGCTATAATTGAAGACATAAAGGACTGGATTTCAGAGATTTAACCATTTTTCCGATAATTGTATATTCAGGTAATCATAAAATGTCATATTATCTTGCCCCTTTGGAAATGTCAGGAATGTCAACTTTTTCTCTTTAAAGTTTTACAAAATTAGTCCTTCCATTGTTTGTTTGTTCTTTTATTTATAATCTTGTTATTTAAAGTTTTTCTTTTTCTTTTTTTTTGTCCTTATGACAAAATATTTTTGTATTATTATTTTTTTCTATGTCTGTTTCAAAATGGATCAATAAAAGTATTTGTTTTTTGGGAAAAATAATTATTATTTGTATTATTTCTTAAATTTTAGTTAGCAAGTCTACATATCTACTTTCAGAAATTAACTCAGATGCAAGATGAACATTCTAATTCATCGTACACTATTCTGGGATATATAATATAAAATTAATGTGATGCTCATATTATTAGGTAATCAACCTTGGCTGCCCCAGTTCATGAATGCATGGATAATCATTGAAAACACTACATTTCAGTACAGGATGCCAGTCGTGGGCCAAAAAATTAATAATCCCTATTATTGGGTATGCTTCATATATATTTCCAAATAAGCCATTATGTAGGGACATGTTAATGGCATAAATATTTGACATCTATACAAGAGGTAAGATTAAATACTGCAAGAGTCAATTAAATGATGCTTTAAAAAGAAATGGGCTTGATACTGATGGCTGGTCTCTCAATGCAGAATAAAAATCACTCAAGTTATGGATTTAGTAACAGCATATGAAACAGGCAAGGAATAAAACTAAAACTATTATAGCTCCATTCTGCACAAATTCCAGGGGGATTGGTGGGGGAAAAAAATAATGTAGAGAGAGAACGGACACTTTAAAATGGATAAATCCAAAGCTCTTCACAGATTGATACAAAGAAAATGTCAATGTTTTATTTTCTGTTATTTACTTCCAATTTGACACATTTAAACCCAATTCCACCTCCCAAAACCATTTAAAGCAAAATATAACTTCTACTTTTATTTTTCTTAGCATTCTCCACACAGTGTCCTGGATGTCCTTGTTCCTGAAGCTATAAATCAGGGGATTGAGTAGTGGGGGCAAAACTGTGTAGAGAAGAGCAGAGAGCAAGTCCAAAGTATGAGAGGAAAGACTCTGGGGCCTCATATATGCAAAGGTAGCAAAGCTCAAAAATAAAGAAAAAACCATCAGGTGGGGAGTACATGTTGAGAAGGCTTTATATCTGCCTTGAACTGAAGGAATTCTTAGTGCAGCAGAGAAGATGTAGCCATAGGAAACAAAAATGAGCCCACTACAAAATGTGTCTACAATAAACCCTACAACCAAAACCAGAATTTGGTTAATTCTTGTATCACTACAGGAAATCTTTTGTAGCTGAGGAACATCACAGAAAAATTGCTCAATTATGTGTAATTTGCAGAAATTTAACCTGAAAGTGAGAGTGGTGTGCAGCAGAGCATAGACCAAATTGCTTATCCAGGAAGCGGCTGCCATTTGTAAACAGGCATCCCAGTTCATCGTTAGCGTGTATTGCAAAGGATGGCAGATGGCCACGTAACGGTCATAAGCCATGATGGTGAGCAAGGTAAGCTCAGAACCTGCAAAGGTGAAGACGGAGAAGACTTGAGCAGCACATCCAACAAAGGAGATCACTTTGTTGTTTGTCAAAGATGTGGCCATGGCTTTAGGAATCGTAGTTGAGATGAAGCAAACATCAGAGAATGACAAATTGACCAAAAAGAAATACATGGGAGTGTGAAGCTGGTGATTTATTATCACAGCAGCAACAAGAAGGAAATTTCCAACTAAGGCTAGTAAGTAAATGGCAAGAAATATTACAAAAGACAGAATCTGCAAATCACGGTCCTCAGAAAATCCCATCAGAAGGAAATCTGTCCCAGTGGATTGGTTGGCCATTGAGTTTCTTTGACTCCTTCTGGACAGAAAGAGATGATCATAGGATATTAATACAGGAAGGAAATATGGCTACAATATTACACCTAATAATAGTGATAATATGTTTTTTTTCCCCAAGCTTTCTGACAAAAAATGGCAAAAATTACATTTCAAGAAAAATTCACTATAGTACTGGGGGGGGGGGATCTTTTTTCTATGACTTTTACATATACAGTCACACATTGAAGGGGGAGAAGAGAGAAAATAACAGTACAGTGCTATAAATTTCTTTCCTACAATAAATTTTCTTGATTTAGACTGGATATAGAATTGCCACCCTGTGCTGCATACACATATGAACGTAGAAAGCATTTTATTGAGCACCATTACTGAAGAGAAAATATGGAGATAATGATACATCAGTATACATTATTTATACTAATTTGCTATGAAACTCAATTAGAAATCTTTATTACATATCCAGCTTAGGTTAGATCAAAAGTGGACACATCAGTCAGATTGGGAGAACATACAATTCTTCTAACTCTATGAATATTATTTTTCCCCCCTTATAATGCAAGGTATAGCACTATGGAATTTCAGAAATCCCCAGTTCAGCCCTAAGAATTCTGAAGAGAATAAAATCCAATGCAAATTATCAGGAACTTGATGAGAAGCAACACTGGGCTGGATGGGCCTGGGGAGGAAATATCTGCACACAATATTTTAAAAACAAACTAACTTCCCCAAAATGTCTTTAAATATCTTAAGAAGTAGTCTTTATTACTATTCCATCTATACAAAGAAGAAAAGGGGGGGGGGAATAAAGGAAAGGAAAGGAAGGAAAGATATGTTCCTAAGGTAATGGAGATAAGGTTTCTAAGGTAATGGAGAAAAAATGCCAATATTCAGAATTTGTGTATCATATTCATGAAAATATCCATTGGAAAGAGTTTTCCTATAATGACGAATAGACAGATAGATAGGTAGATTATAATAAAATGAAACAGAGAGAATTCTGCAAAATCCCTCTGTTCTTTAGGGTTGCAAGAAAAAGCAAAGCATTACTAATGTGGCTAAAAGTATGGAATGTTTTTCTGTAATTCATACAAATACATAATTCAGACCTTCTCTCCCTCCCTGCCTCCCTCCTTTTTGAAAAGGAAGCTAATTTCTGTTTCTGTGTATTCCATTACTGGGTCTTAATTGAATTTATTGGTTGCAGAACTGCCCGCCTATGTCTTTTACACATATTCCTGGCTTTTAGGTATTGATACATACTGAAACCCTTGCCTAAATTGTGGAGTTTATTGGATTCAGTGTAATGGCTGCTAGACAGGCAAGTATAGTATTGCAGACTGAAGATCAGAGTTACCTATCTCGGTTTTGTATCAAATTAATTGTTATTAGATAATATCAGATTTCTAATATACTGTATTTAAACAAGAAGAAATCCAGCTGATCACATATTGTATCATTACAAACAAGGTTATAAATGCTTTTTACAAATAATTTTGTAACCATTTACCTGAGCCCAGAAATGCTTACTCCTTATTTCAGCAGTAAGAAAATATAAAACTAATTTATCTTATAATGTTCTATGTGAAATATACGTATCTAACATTTGGCAATGTTTTAATAAATGACGTGTTAAGTAGCTGGAATGAATGAAAGAGAATTCTACCTACCTTTGACTTCTTTTGCTGAGAAGGTGACCCTCCCTATCTGTTTAAATACAGAA